TTGTCTGGTTTCCAGAAAAATGACAATGTGGAAAAATCAGCATCAGTGCTCAAAGGATGTGTTAATCGGAAAAAAAAACTCCTGATCGTGTTTTATGTAGAGGCATTATTTTCAGCAGAGGCAATGAACAATGCAAAGCTCTGGATCTGTCCTGTTAGTCACCTTTTAAGGGGCTTTAAGCTGAAAATGCTTGTTTACAGCTTGCTCGGTGTGTACATGGCAGAAGTGGGGCATGCACAGTCTTGTTGCACAGGCTGTGCTTTTAGCCTGTCGGAACACAGAAGCTCCTGTAATCTCAGTTCAAGTGATAAACTTGACTATAGCACCATTCACAAAGAGCACGCTTGAGAGATCAGACTAAGCTTGATGAATAGAATTGAAGAAATCAACAACAAAATAAATAAACAAAAAAACAAAGAGTTATATTAGACCCAATTTCTAAAAGACTTTACTCCTGGACCAAAGCTGTCACATTTGGGCAAACATCTGCAGATGTTGTTTTGAGTGGCTCAGTAGATGATGATAGTATTACTTCCCTAACAAAACTGGGATGAAAGACAACAAGAGTGTGTATCAGAAATGTGAAACCAGAATATAATTTACTGCCAACCCACCAGGACAAACTGGCAGTTAGAAGAGAAGAGGCCAGAACTTTGAAGCAGGTAGGACAACTAAATCATAGGTAGAGTGCTACCATCACTAACCACATTGGCCTGTAAGGAGAAGAAAACAAATGTACCTACTAACACAAAAAATAACTCTGACAGCTATATGAAAAGTGAACACTATGATTAACATTTTACAAGTCAGTGTATTTTATGAAACACTAATTATTATTTCTTAAAGACAGCGTCATCTTTTTCTTTTCATCACCCAAATGTAAAATAAAATTATTTTAACACAAAGGGGAAAATATGGATTTTTTTGGTCAATTTTGTCAACAGAGAGTGCAACTGTTTAAAAAAAAAGGTTTTCTTTTTTTAATTGGATTAGATTCTTGAATCATATTCAAATATGAGAGAACGTCTCAGCCTGAGAAAGCAGAACACGACTTGGAGTCTGATCCCCTCAATTATTTCCCCATGACTTCCTTTATCAGGTTTTTTTCTTACAATAGCTGCTGATCATTGTCTCATGCCCTAATTCCTTCAGCCAGCAGAAGAAATCAGTGATGAAAGACACACACTTCAACCTCTTTGTCACTGAAGGGAGTCATACTTAAATGACTTCACATTTTACCCCGTTTCCCAACTTACGAACACAAAGAGCATTTTTGTTGTCCCAAATGTTGAGGGTAGAGTAATTGTCAGGTAGATACATTAAGAATTTCAAGTTCTGAAAAGAAAGAGACTGGATTTTTGAGAAGGAAAGTTTTGAGCATTGAGAAGATATTAAGAGTTATGATTTGAATTATAACGGATGTCAGGTATATTATGTCAAGCACAACTTTGTCATACTGTTTTCATGTAGAATTATTCCCTATTCAAGGGTGAAGAAGATTCTTTAGAGAAAAGCAAGTGTTACTCTGTAACAATCTGCAGTACCAACCTGCAGCAGGCTTCCAGAGCTTCCTGACTGACTGGCAAGTCATCTTACATTTTCTGGTGAAGCCTCCAAGGCCGGATGTCACACCTCAAATTCCTTCAGGTTTCGTTCCAGCATCTTTTCCCACCCATGTTTGCTCGACAAATTTTCTTTATTTGTGGGCCTTGAGCTCTGAAAGGCAGCCTACTGGGGAAATGCAGAGTTCCACACATAAAACTTTGACTTACATACAATTCTACAAAGAACAAAGTCCACATTTCTGTGTATGTGAGTATGTGTGTGCACAGGAAAGCTATGCAAAGTCTGTTTTTCGGTGAACAGGTATTTGAATTAAAAACTAGTTACACAAAGTTTTTGGAAAAATCGCATTTTCTATTAACTTTTTGTCATCTCAAAAACAACCAAGAAACAGATAAAAATATAAAAAATTTAAAAAACACAATACAAAAAGAATTAAAATAGAAACACAACTTTGGCCCACTGTTTGGAGCCTCCAAACTCCAAAATAGCTTTCTCAGTGATATGTTCAGATTTGCTGTGGATTCCAAAGCCACCTTCCGGCTCAGACTAAAAACATATCATCTTCATCTCGACAGAAACTCAACTTTAACTGCAATCATAAGCAAGCTATTTGGTCTCATTTACTGCTTTTCCGGTAAACCAAATTCTAAAGGCACTTATACAATTCACCTCAGATAAAAATAACTTCAATTCTACACCAGTTGTCATCATTGTTTGTACATAATGATTAGGATTAAATTTACAACTAATATCCTTTTTGCCAGGGATGAAAACCGATGTCGAAAAAACAGATTAATACAAAACTCAAAGATGCGTCAGATTTTCGTCCCGCTTCAAGAATCTGGTCTTCATTAAAAGCGTTCAATCTGTGCCAAACAGAGGTCCATGCCATAAAGCTGTCAATGCCGAGATCAGTGCAACATCATTTGTGGGTGGAATTACATACCACCATAAATCTTTTTGGATCACATCAAACATCAGGCCTACATATGCCACCATTGTAGGTGGTGATATACTTGCACTCGTCACCAAAAAGCATAGCTACATTTTTTAAGATATCCCCAAAAACAAACAACGCTGGATGGAAAGAAAGCCCAAACCTGGATCCTTTCATGTATCTTCTTTTCAAAATCATCAATAGAGGTTGATCATTTCCATCCTGTATTACTTCTGCGTTACTATTGTGTTTTTCCTTATCGTGAAAAATCTATAAATCAGATTTCTGATTCATTCTTCCCATAATCACACATCTGAGTGTGTATTTGAAAATAGTATTCCATATTCATGTTAATTTTTTATCTTGTCTACAGAAATAAAAATTCCCTTTTGGGTGTACTTTCCACATGTACTAGAAATCACGTTATGTATTTCCCAGATAGCTGTCTATTAAAGAAGACTTCTACCAGTCAGAGTTTCAGATCATGTGCAACTTTGTCAACAATAACAAATAACTTCAGAATGCAACATATAGAAAATCTCTTACAATTACTGTTGAACTGCACTTTCTAACCACTCATCACATTGAGTGGGCAAACGTTTTTTTAAATTTGAGTGTGGATAAAATCACACCATATTTAGTAGTACATCCGAAATCTGCTTAGGCTGAAGAACTTTTGAGCCATTGACAACTAATTTTGATTATTCATGAAAAATGGAAGAAAAAGGTAAAAATGTATTACTGAAAGAGTGTAACGTTAAGTCTCTCTAAAAAACTAAGTTTAAATCTTGCAAAAAACAGTGCTCTACATTCACAAATGGTATGGAATGATAAAGAATTTTACAATGGGGTTCAGAAAACATTTTCACAGGTGCTGCATATATATATATATTTTTTTTTACCTTGTCCTGTTCAGCATTATGGCAGCAGAACTGAAATCTGAGTACCGTGCTATGCTGAACAAAATTGCTTTTCCAGGAGAGGCTTTGTTAGTGAGAAGCCCCCCTTGATTACCAAAAAACAGCTTTATTTCTTCATTTTTGTTACCAAAGTTACATATGTCCAATAATGCCAAACCTGACAGAGGGACAGGGAAGAAAGAAGAGCAATAGAAAGGAGAGTGATCCTTTAGACAGAAAGACAAAAGGGAAAGAAAAAAAGAAAGAAAAAAAGAGGAAAGAAAGACAACAAAGACCATACAACCAGCTGCTATGTCTGAAAAAAGGACACTGTTCCTTGTGAGCAATCCGGGTGGGGAACCTATAAGAGCTCCTGCAAAAGGGCAGAGGGAAGACAAAAGAACAAACAAGCAACAAAAGCAACAACACTGGGAGCAGGAACATTAGTGAGCTTCTCGGAATTGTGCAACAACTGTATAGAAGCTTAAAGAGGCCTGTGTCTGGGTATCTGACTGTGTGTGTGTGTGTGTGTGTATGTGTGAAAGAATGAGAACCCGCAGCCTAGGTTTCCCAGATTGTGCTCAGTTATGGTGCAGAGGGGCCACCAGCCGAAGCCCCCCCCCCCCCCCCCCCCTCCCCCTCCAGTGCACCAAAGAGGGCAGGGAGTGCCCCCAGACCCGGTACCCCAGCAGACCCAGAACCAGACCCAATCACGACCACAGTCACTCCAGTCAGACCCATGCATGCTCACACACACGCACACACACATTCACACGCACACACACTCACTCTCGCACATTCATACACACTCCCTCACATGCACACACACACAGAAAATATATAATTAAATACCAAGAAAGTACAATAAATAGTAATAATAATAATAATAATAACGAAATATAAAAATACAATTAAAATTTTTTTTTTTTTTTTAAAGGGGGTGTGCAGCATGGCGGGCACCTCCAGGGTCAGTAATGCCCCACTGCCACAGACCTGGGACCGGCAGAGGCACCCCTGCATTGTTGAGGACCTAGAAGTATGGAAGACTCCCTAATTTGTTTAGGGTGAATAAGTAGTCAGAACTTTAAATTCCCCCTCAACACAATAATAATAAAAATAATCTCAAACTGTAAAAAATGTGCGTTTTTGTGCTGAGATGCAGATATGGACAGCTGTATTCTCCATGAAGTACCAGTACCTGTATTTGTACTGGTTTTTGTACTCCATCAGCTATCTTTAATATTCAGAAACAGTGGCTGTTTCACACTTAATTACACACTAGACAAATCCACTGTAACACACAAACAATAACAAATAGTTATGAATGCTTTGCATTTGCCTTCATATTATTTCAAATTCCTCTTTGACCTTACTTAGCTTAACATGTTCAAACTTATTCACAATGAGCCTGAATGTTAAAATAACTGAGTTGACAGACACACATGAGATGTGTCAAGGGACAGATGTGACAAGGGTCAGATGAGTGGGTGGGAGCCGGGGCTTGCAAGAAATTATTCACCTGTGCCTGGTAATTCCCTCCTCGGTCTCTCTCAGTCATAAGGTTTCGGATCAATTCTACGCCCTCTTCTGTTATGTAGCTCCAGCCTCGTATGGAGGAGTCAAGAAGGCAACAGCACCACTGGTTCAAAGTGCACGTCATGCTACAGCTCAACGTATCCAAAGAGAGGCCCTGCCACTTCTGCAGGTTCAGGCAAACATGCGCCTAGCAGGAATCAGCACAACAGATGAGTCCAAAATCATGCCTTGAGGCCATTTTTCATGTGCTGTCTCAAGCCCAGTCTTACCAGCTGCTCCAACTGAGAACTTGTGCTTTGATAAAAAAAAAAAGCTACACAGAGCTGGGGGATGTCTTCAGATATGAGCTCCAGATTCTAATAAATATTTAAGGTAAAAACAAAAGTTCATTTCAGTTTACTGCCCCATAGTCATGTATGTAAGCTTATTCCCTTTAGCCAGAGGTGAGAAAACAAATGTCTATAAAAGCTGGCTTGTTATTGCACAATTGCCCTAAGCATTTGTCTATCATGTTTATGCCTTAATTCATCTCCATAAAAACTGCATGGCTGGGGCTCGAAATGTTACATTGTGTTTTCCCACTATCAAACGTCACATACATCTAACCAAGTGAGATGAATTACTGATATGTAAAGGGGGAGGGGTTATTCTTTCAGTGTGACCAATTGCCAAACACTATTTGACAGAATGAGGCTGGATAGTTGCCTACAGCATCCCTAAGACATGTCAAAAGGCTGTATAAAGAAAGATTTTAATCTGATGGTTACTGAAGTCTGGGATTTTGCCCAAATAAAACCAGGGTTCTCCTGTCTCCAAAGCTAGCATTCGTATGGGGCAGAGTTTGTGTGAAGGGCCGCACATTTTCCCTTAAATTCTTTCTGTATGAATCATGGACTTTGCGCGGAAAGTGGCGTATGCAACTTTAAGGCCTTATTTTGTGCAGACGTAAGACAAAACGTAGAACAGAGAGTGTACAAAATGGGTTTACATGGTTGATAAGAAGCCACATAATTTGAATACTAAGGAACTAATTAGTCGGTGGTGGACGCTGAGGGTTATTACACAGGACAAAAGACTTAAGGTTATGACCGGAACATGAGAAAACTGATGAATTATGGGTGATAATAATTGTATAACATAAAAGAACTGAGGCAAGACAGCAATACATTTCCAAATTGACAAAAATTATTGGAACCAACTAACAAGACCAGAGAACCATGAAAAAAAGGACACATCAAGATTACAGGAAAACAAACTACGCTGGTACAAATAAATGACTAAACAAAGAAAGAAATATGAATTAAACACTAAAAAAGCAAGAAAAGATCTGACATTTGATTTGTTATTTATTCATTATTTCATTTTCCTGCATTCCATCCATCCATTGTCCCCCGCTTATCCGAAGTCGGGTCGCGGGGGCAGCAGCCGGAGCAGGGAGACCCAGACTTCCTTCTCCCCGGCCACTTCAGCCAGCTCCTCCGGGGGGATCCCGAGGCGTTCCCAGGCCAGCCGGGACACATAGTCCCTCCAGCGGGTCCTGGGTCTTCCTCTGGGCCTTCTCCCGGTGGGACGAGCCCGGAACACCTCCCCAGGGAGGCGACCAGGAGGCATCCTGAACAGATGCCCGAGCCACCTCAACTGGCTCCTCTCCACGTGGAGGAGCAGCGGATCTACTCCGAGCCCCTCCCGGATGGCCGAGCTTCTCACCCTATCTCTAAGGGAGAGCCCAGCCACCCTGCGGAGGAAACTCATTTCGGCCGCTTGTATCCGCGATCTCGTTCTTTCGGTCACTACCCAAAGTTCGTGACCATAGACGAGGGTGGGAACGTAGATCGACGGATAAATTGAGAGCTTCGCCTTTAGGCTCAGCTCTCTCTTCATCACGACAGACCGGTACAGCGCCCGCATTACTGCAGACGCCGCACCGATCCGCCTTTCGATCTCACGCTCCCTACCCCCGTTCGCGAACAAGACCCCGAGATACTTGAACTCCTCCACTTGGGGAAGGACGTCCGCTCCGACTCGGAGAAGGCACTCTACCCTTTTCCGGTGAGAGACCATGGTCTCGGACTTGGAGGAACTGATCCTCATCCCAGCCGCTTCGCACTCGGCTGCGAACCGCTCCAGTGAGAGCTGTAGGTCCCGACTTGATGAAGCCAACAGGACCACATCATCTGCAAAAAGCAGAGATGCGACCCTAAGGCCACCAAGACTGACAGCCTCAACACCTCGGCTGCGCCTAGAAATCCTGTCCATAAAAGTTATGAACAGGACCGGAGACATAGGGCAACCTTGGCGGAGTCCATCTCCCACCGGAAATAGATCCGACTTAGTACCGGCAATGCGAACCAAACTCTGACCCCGGTCGTACAGGGACCGAACAGCCCGTAGTAAAGGGCCAGGTACCCCATACTCCCGGAGCACCCCCCACAGGATACCCCGAGGGACACGGTCGAACGCCTTCTCCAAGTCCACAAAACACATGTGTACTGGTTGAGCGAACTCCCATGCACCCTCTAGGACCCCGCTGAGGGTATAGAGCTGGTCCAGCGTTCCACGGCCAGGACGAAAACCACACTGTTCCTCCTCGATCCGAGGCTCAACTATCCGACGGACCCTCCTCTCCAGAACCGCTGAATAGACCTTCCCAGGGAGGCTTAAGAGTGTGATCCCCCTGTAGTTGGAACACACCCTTCGGTCCCCCTTTTTAAATAGGGGGACCACCACCCCAGTCTGCCAATCCAGCGGGACTGCCCCTGATGTCCACGCGATGTTGCAGAGTCGCGTTAGCCAACGCAGCCCCACAACATCCAAAGCCTTAAGGAACTCCGGCCGGATCTCATCCACCCCCGGAGCCTTGCCACCGCAGAGCTTTTTGACTACCTCGGTGACTTCAGCCCCGGAGATTAGAGATCCCAACTCCGGATCCCCAGGCTCTGCCCCTCCAATGGAGGACGTGCCAGTGGGATTGAGGAGGTCCTCGAAGTACTCCGCCCACCGACCCACAACGTCACGAGTTGAGGTCAACAGCACCCCATCCCCACTGTAAACAGTGTTGGTGGGGCATTGCTTCCCCCCCCTGAGACGCCGGATGGTGGACCAGAATCGCCTCGAGGCCATGCGGAAGTCTTTTTCCATGGCCTCCCCAAACTCCTCCCACGCCCGAGCCGCACGTCGCTTGGACTGCCAGTACCCATCGGCTGCCTCCGGAGTCCCACAGGCCAAAAAGGCCCGATAGGACTCCTTCTTCAGCCTGACGGCATCCCTCACCGCCGGGGTCCACCAGCGGGTTCGAGGGTTGCCGCCACGACAGGCACCGACAGCCCTGCGACCGCAGCTTCGAGAGGCTGGAGAGGCCACCATCGGAGCCAACTCACCACCAGGTAGTGGTCAGTGGAAAGCTCCGCCCCCCTCTTGACCCGAGTGTCCAGAACATACGGCCGCAGATCAGCTGAAACGACAACAAAGTCGATCATTGAGCTGCGGCCTAGAGTGTCCTGGTGCCAGGTGCACATATGGACACTCTTATGCCTGAACATGGTGTTCGTTATGGACAATCCGTGCCGAGCACAGAAGTCCAAAAACAGAACACCGCTCGGGTTCAAGCTGGGGGGGCCATTCCTCCCAACCACGCCCCTCTAGGTCTCACTGTCGTTGCCCACGTGAGCGTTGAAGTCCCCCAGCAAAACGAGGGAGTCCCCAGAGGGGGGCACCCTCCAGTACCCCCTCTAAGGACTCCAAAAAGGGTGGGTACTCTGTGCTGCCGCTAGGCGCATAGGCACAAACAACAGTCAGAACCCGTCCCCCCACCCGAAGGCGAAGGGATGCTACCCTCTCGCTCACTGGGGTAAACCCCAACGTACAGGCACCGAGATGGGGGGCAATGAGTATGCCCACTCCTGCTCGGCGCCTCTCACCGGGGGCAACTCCAGAGTAGCAGAGCGTCCAACCCCTCTCGAGAAGGCTGGTTCCAGAGCCAGAGCTGTGTGTCGAGGCGAGACCGACTATGTCCAGCCGGAATCTCTCCGCCTCGCACACCAGCTCAG